GGCGTGGGTTATGGGACTGCTAACATGGCCCGACGTGCAGCCCACTCGGTGAAGGTGCAAGAGGGCAAGGCACCTAGGCAGCCCATTCACCGTGATTGGAGGTAACAATCAACTAGCGCATTATACAGTCCTTCTCCTCTCTTGAGTGTGGTGTGCGGAGCTCGCCTTGATCAACCTCCCGTCGCAGCTATCACGACGCAATGGAAATGCCGTAATGAAAACACCCACCTCGTCAACTGTGGCAGTCATCAAATTAGCCTGCGGCTAACATGATGCCTGACTGCAATGCTGCCAACGCCTCGTGGCACATCAACTGGACTTGGAGCTTCGTCCTGTGTGGCAGCAGCATTGGGGGAAGGCGGGATGCGCTTGCCATCACGCGTGTTCACAGTTAGTGGTGGAAACAGGGGATTACAGGCGGAGCGATGTAGGAAGGGTCTAATTAATGAGGGCCTCGTGTAGGTGGTGTTTTGCCTCCGTTTCCCTTTTCACTATATTCTCTCTTCATTGGTATGCAGCCATATCTCTCTGGGTTGCATCTGGTGAGCATGGCAGTGAAGGAGGTGTTGTGTGATCACTTCATTGACATCTTGAGGGTAGCACAGTAGGTGGCTCTGTGACGGAGTGTTGAGATGGTTGGCAGGTAGTCGTTTCAGTTGTAAATAGCCTTCGTGCTTAGCAGGTAACTGGGGTAGATCCTGACGGCAGATGTCATATGTGACCATTGCATGATGACTGTTGTGCAGTCCTATCTGTAGCAAATGCACTTCTTCGGCCCCGTTGGGGTTTGCCAGCCAGTAGTAGCTTAAATCAGGACGGTTGTCCTTAAAGACGTGCATAGAGCTGTCCTCCAATTGCGTACCAGCTGGACAGAGCCCCGATACCTAGGACTGGCCAGTTCCAGAGTGAGAACAAAGTGACAAGAAGGAACAGCCACGAATCCCTTCCCCTACGAATCTGTGCTAAATTCCGCCTGTTTATGGACACGCATGATGGCCAGCACAATTCCCCGTCCCCTGATCCCACTTCCCAAGTTGGACGAAACACCTGATGCAGTTGAATTGCCAGCAGGGATCAGTGGCGCTGCAGTCCGGTGTCTTTTCAGTTGCACAGGAATCTGATGACTGACACGGTCGGTTCGTGGGTGTTTCCTCACAGCATCGACTGCGTTGTGATGGCTGTCGCAGGAGGTTGACCAAGGGGAGTGTCGGGGATGACGCTGAAAAGAGAAGGGGAGGTATGTAATGCGTTGGTCGTTTGTTAAAGAATGGGTTTGGTAAGGGGCCACTTTGTCACCACCATTGTACCTCGTTGGGTGGACTAGATTGTCGGCCATGCAATTAGCCCTACTACCCAAGGCGCCACAGTAGGATTCACTACGCGGGCACTTGGAACTCCACATATTGCGTCTCCCCTAACGTACTGGACATCTAGTCATACCTACAGATATGCAGCCTTCCTGCTGCCAAGCTGGTAGCAGCGGCAAAGGAACGAGGTCCGAAGAACACTTCTCTCTCCCACGATCAGTTGTTCTAACCATACTGCCACGGACAAAGACAATGTGCCACAGGTGGCTGTACCTGTAACGAATTTTGGTGAAAGGTCAAAAATGACCTCCTCTTTAGATGGAAAACAACTGAAGTCTATTCTGAAACTGCCTGTGCTACTTATCTGCATGCACGTTAATTGAAGAAATGCAAAGTGCTGTCCTGAAGCCCCTACTGAAGAGGTGTTGGATTGACAGATTTGCCTGTGTAAACTAATAACGCTGTGTAGCTACTTTGTATCTGATCACTTAGTGCTCAGTATAGTGCTTCTGCGAATGGCGAATGTAGTAGGAAACGCACTCGATACGGAGTGTCGCCCTTCTTACATACTTTGTCCAAATAACCAGTCTTTGTAACATTACCTTGCAACAGTAACTCAACCTATCCCCTGCAAACGGTTCGTAAAAATAACAAGAGGTAAGTAGGGGAACAATCTGCTACACAGGTACGCCGTTATTGCAGCAGTAGCAGAGAAGTTTCCAAAGATTGCTGCTATCATTACCGCTATCTTAGTGCAATTGCATACGATCTCTAGTCGTATACATGTTTGCTCTATAAAATTTGTGCAAAAGTGTCAAGTAACAGTCATGCAAAGGCCGGTGTTAGGTGTCGTTTTTCTAACGCCTGCTTTGTTTTAATGACTGCGACCTATTATTTAAGTCCTTGAGAGTCACCTCTCATATAAATTTCGCACTTTTTTGCAATCTCTTGTGGTCACCCTTGTGGAGTCATGTCTGTGGAGGGGTTGTTGTTGCCTTTGGAGATGGAACGTGTTTTGGGCGTGAGCGGAAGGTTTCTGTTGTTGGTGCGGGAGCAGTAGGCACGGCAGCGGCGTTTGCTATTATGACTAAAGTAAGTGGATTACCGGAAACATGTCCATAGGGTATTGCAAACACTGTCGCTCTCTACGATATTGACGAAGATAGATGCAACGGTGAAGTGATGGACTTGGACCAAGGCTCACTGTTTCTGGAGTCTTGTAGAGTAATTGGTGGCAAAGGCAAGTATTTGTTTGGGTATTTTCATGATTTTCGTCTCGAGTTCGACATTCATCACCACATGTTCATGTAGATATAACGAAGACTGCGGACTCGGATATCGTTGTAGTAACAGCTGGGGTCCGGCAAGCTGTTGGCGAATCCAGATTGAACCTTGTTCAACGCAATGTTGATATATTTAAAAGTGGGTTGGAGTCGTGTACTTTAGTTTGGGGTTTCCATGCATAGGCGCGTGGATTTTTATTCCAGCAACTTTGTCCTCCTTAATTAACAAGATTTGTTGGCAACTTTAGAACTAATTCCTACTCTCGTTGAACAAAGCCCAAAGTGCATTCTCGTTATCGTTACAAATCCAGGTGGGTGTTTTGGCCAGCTGTAACATGCCTTGCTTGAACTATTCCTGTATGTTTCTTTTTTTCCTTAGTTGATATCATGACCTATGTCTCCTGGAAGTTAAGCGGCTTTCCACAGCATCGTGTCTTAGGATCTGGAACCATGCTTGACACTGCTAGATTTCGGCACATTCTTGGCGAGAAGTTGAATGTGCATCCTAGTGCCATACACGGTTACGTAGTCGGCGAACATGGAGACTCGAGTGGTATGTATTGCCTACGTGAAGTAATTGTCGTACTGTTGTAGTGCCAGTATGGAGTAGGGTGACCGTTGGTGGAGCAAATCTCTGTGACATTTATCCCAAGATCGGCCAAGCCGGCGATCCCGACGATTTTGCTTCCATTCACAAGGCTGTTGTCGATAGGTAGTGACAGTGTATTCACCACAGACCTGCTAGCATTTCATGTGGACCTAATGTTTGCATCTTCCTTCTAGCGCCTACGAAATCATTCGCATGAAGGGCTGCACTGCTTGGGCCATAGGTCTCTGTTGTGCCTCCCTGTGTAATGCGATTCTGCGAAACAAGAAAATTGTGATTCCAGTTTCCACCTCACTTAAGGTTTGTTCATTAATGCGAGATTCATTTGTATGAGTCCCACAGTTGGAGGCTAATTGGTTGCATATCTTCTAGGACAAACTTGGTATTAAGGATGAAGTATTCGCAAGCGTGCCCTGTATAGTCGACAGCAGCGGCGTGTCTGCAGTGATCAACCTCGAGTATTCGCCTAGTGAGAAACAAAGCCTGTTGGCCAGTGTTGAGACTCTTCAGAAGATTATCGCAGGCATCAAGTGGTGAATGAAGTGGGAAATTTACATACGTTCCATAGTGTTATGTGGATTGCGAGGTTTAGAAACCTTGTACTATATGAGTATAGTTGTTGGCAGACGTTGTTGCTCTTTTTCGACAAAATGCCGTATTTTTTCGGCATAATCGAGTGGTTTCGTGTTTGGCGTAAGTTAGTGCACGGAAGGTGCCCGATAGAAGTGTGGCCACCGGTGTCGTGCCTCGAGCTTGGCTTTGCGTTGGTGTTCGGGATGTGGCGATGGGTGTTTACAGGTATTTCAGCACTTGTAGTTTGGTCAGAATGTGGATCGTTAC